GGGTTAATTTCAAATCAGTGGAGTAAAAAAATCAATGGAATGCATTTCAGAGAAGGATAATGCTATATTAATAATAAACTACATTATCTCCTTCCTTAAAGGACCATCCTGAAGTTTAGGTCAATCAAATGATGATAACATCATATTTCTACTAAGGAAGAGCCAAAAGAAGCGTAAATCCATGAGATTCATAAATTCACAAAGAAACTCTTGTGAAGGAACCACAAGTTTCTAGAATGGTAGTTCAGCATGACCTTTCTACCCCAGTAATATTATCCTAATCATTGTCAACATTTAAGGTATCCCCTTTCTATGGGGACTGTGAACATCTAATTTTTTTTTTTTGGAAGTCAGTGTTCTCATGATTTCTTCCTCCTCAAATTGAAAAGTTTTTAAGATGTGGTGGGGAGAAAGTTTGAAGGAGATCATAAATTGACTCTAGACATGTGGAGTTTGAAGTACTTGTGGGATGCAGGAAAGAGTTGAGAACAACCAAGCAGTAGGCATTTGGTGAGGAGAGATGACTTTTCCACTACCACCTCACACCCACCCCCCACCGCCTTTCTTTCTTCTTTGTTCTCTCTCAGAAAGCTGAGGCTTATAGAAATTAAGCAATTTTCCATGGTAACATAATTTGTAAACATGTTATATACCAGCAGGAAGAACACTATTGTTGGAATTGTAATTCAAACCCAGGGTCTTTCTGGTACCAAAGCCAGCACATTATCCTAATTACCACAGTCATGAATGGAAACTGTTAAAATAGAGAATATGTGTATATTTTTTCAATTCAGCTCAGTAAGGCAAAAATGCACCCTAAATTTTAGAGATGGTAAGAATTTGCCCTTACTCCAGGAAATTGATCGTAAAAAACAGTACACTTCCTTTGCAATGCACCACGTGGTATAATGTGCCAGGATACTTGTAGAAAGACTCATGGTGAAAACAGAGGCTGCAAAAAGCTACTTATGATGGGTGGAAATAGTTGGGTTCTCATGAGACTTCTTCAGGTGGCCCTGTGATGGCAGACATTCTTTGTCATTCTTCTTCAGGGAGACTGCTCTGTGAGGGTGCATTGGCTCAGATGTCCTTCTTCCTCCTAATCCTAAGATTTGCTAACAGGGTTGTTATGATGTCACCAGCCCATATCTGTAGACATTATCATAGTTGTGAATTATGATGTAGCATAGTGTGAGGCTAGGAAGAGCAACTTCGGAAATGATTGTCTCCCCAGCAAGAACAATGTGTGGAGTAAGGTGAAGGGATACAGATGCAGATGCCCAAATCCCCACTACTGTACTTGCTTGCCACCACCAGGGTCCTTTGGTGATTCGTTTTTGAAATATAGCTTGATATTAGTCTTCATATATGGAGTATTATTACTATTATGATTTTTGTAGCACTGGGGATTGAACCCAGGGTGATTTATCTCTGAGCTACATCCCCAGACCTTTTTATTTTATTTTATTTTAACTTTTGAGACATGATCTTGCTAAGGTGCTGAGGCTGACCTTGGGACTTGTGATCCTCGTGTCTCAGCCTCCTGAGTACCTGGGATTACAGGTGTGCACCCCATGGCTGGCTATATGGAGTATTATTGATGTTTAATAAGAACATTATGGGGCTTGGGTTGTGGCTCAGTGGTGGAGTGCTTGCCTCGCACGTGTGAGACCCTGGATTTGATCTTCAGCACCACATAAAAATAAATAAGTGAAATAAGGGTATTGTGTCTAACTACAACTAAAAAATAATTTAAAAAGAACATTATGGTTCTTTTCTTTTTTAGGTATAGGAGATTGAACCCAGGGACACTTAACCACTGAGCCACATCTCCAACCCTTTTTAATATTTTATTTAGAGACAGGGTCTTGCTGAGTTGCTTAGGGCCTCACTAAGTTGCTGAATCTGGCTTTAGACTTGCAATCCTCCTGCCTCAGCCTCCCAAGCCACTGGGATTTCAGATATGTGCGACTGTGCCTGGCAACATTATGATTCTTAATTCATTATCATTCTTAATTCAGTAATGCAATTTATAAGGTTTTTGCTGTCTTCTTAACTTTAACTTAACCAAAGACTAGCCTGTGTGCACATGCATGTGTGTGTGAACTCTATGTGATTTTATAAGATCTCTTTTAGGTCTGGTTTTCTGTGATTAATACATTCATGGAGAGGGAATTAACCGAAGTATGGTATATGATAAGGAAAGTGGGAAGTCTTGCTTTTATTTTGTACACATATGGAGTATTGCTAGATACCAGGAGTAGAGTGGGCTAACAATTTGTATAAGATGCAGTCTCTCTCCTCAAAGAGCATATTCTACATTTCTTCCACTGAACCAATGGTAATACTCCCTGACTTCCCAATCCCTGGGTGGTTCCCATGCTTGTTTGATTTGTCTGAATGAACAGAGTAGCCTAAAGTCATTAATACTAATATAGTGAAGTCAAATTTAAGATTTTGGTAGCCAGAAATGATGAGATAAGAACTACAGTATTGATAATAGTAGAATGAGAGTGGAGAGAAGCAAATGAGGATACATATAAAGATTCCCAGGATGTGATATGTTCTGCATAACATTGGGATATTTGTGTAACTTAGTGAAAAGAGAAAATAACTTTAAGCCAGCTTAACATTTTAAATAGAAGAGCACCTATTCTTTGGTGATAGGTAGGGGAAAATGTTTATGGGAGAAAGTTAAAGAAATAAATTTTATCCACTATCCTTCTTCCATATAGAAAGTTATTTTGGCTTTGCCTGTGAATTCTGGGAGAGCAAGAAGCTCTGCTAGTGGATTAAGTGGAAAAGGGAGGACAGACTGCTGGTTTTCCAAAGAGCAGAGCATGCTCAAGGGGAGATGATAGTCTTAACAACAACTGAATAAATAAAGCCTCTTCTCTGGAAAAATATATGTATAAAATATTTAACTGACATTAAATATTAACAATGAATTAATGAAAACACTCAAAATACTTTATTTATGTAGGAAGTTTTTCCCCTTTTAAAAAATGCTATTTTAAATTTCAAAATCACTTCAGATGTGATTCAGGCAGAAAGTAGTGTGGGTCTCTGGAGGGGTGATTACTACATAAATGACTACATAAATGGAAGTGACCTCCAAGTGAGTCTTTCATATCACCTCTTGCCAATGCACTCTGGTTAGAAGGGTCTAAGTTTAAGAATTTCATGATTGAATGAATTGCTAGGCATATGATGCTCTCCGTGAGACCTAACATTTCCCCAGCCCCTGTACATATGTGGGAAGGGTGTACCTGATTTTGACACAATGCATCACCCTTCTCCTTTTAGGGATTCCAGTGGAAGGGGTAATACCTTCCACCTGATGCTACCTCTGAGTAGCTCTGTGAGCTCCTTTGGGCTATTATGTTGGTTGGTACTTTGACTTCTTTGGCTCCCAGCACCAGCTGATGCCCTGATCTGGATCCCAGTTGGGCAGGCTCTATTGCTCAGTGCTGTAGCTGTCTCCAGGGCATTGTTCTTGAGACTTCCAACAGGGCAGATTTGTGCAGTTGGCCCATCTGGACAAGATCTACAACAAGCAGAGCTCTGTGCAATAAGCTCATCTCCATAGTCCACCCCCCTCTACCCCCGCCTTCGGGCTGCGGCAGCCTGACACCCCAGCCCCACCATGGAGAGTATCAAAGAGATACTCTCTGCTCCTTTCAAAGGGGTATTGCTTGTGGCCTCTCATTCATTGGCACTACCTGAGCAGAAATGGGAAAACAGGGGCTCTCTGCTATTCTCCATTCTATCTCTTCCTTTAAACCAGTTTTTAAATCTTGAGTCTTCTTGTCACCAGAGTGATAATATCACAAACAAAAATAACTTCTAGAAAAGCTACCTTGGTCACCCCAGAATATTCTCTTCACGATGAAGAGACCAGAATATTCTCTTCACGAAAAGAGCATTTGTGTGAACAGGAAAGAGCAGACAACCTCAAGGAAGAAAGAAAGCAAGAGTTTTTTGTTTGACTATAGGATTTACTTTGATCGTTGTATTTATTGACTTTCAATTGGATACCATGTGGTATGAGTAAGTTGGGAGAGAGTGAGACATGGGGAGAGAAGATTGGACTTACATAGTTAATTATTCTAGCTCCAGAGAAAAGGTCAAGATGTCTGAGAGATTATTTGATCACTTGGTCCAGCTGTTATCCCCACACTTTAATCTCTCATATCTTGTTTCTGTTCCTCCATAGTTAGGATAATTCAAAGAATTTAGTGTACCAGGCCCATGCTTCCCACATTGCAGTGGTATGTTAGGCCTGAAACATACCACACCAGCCTCTCTATTCTGACATTTCTAGTAGCTTTAACTGACTGCTGTATCTCTCACTGTTCCTTACTATAGAAGGAGAAAGGGAAACAAGAGAAGGGTGAACAAACAACACTTATTATGGCTCTCTAACTTCGACAGCTACTACTCTGAGACTGGTTGAGTCAATGTTTGTCCAGGATAGCGGTCCTTTATATGCCTAGTTCCTTCCCAGGAATTTTGAAGCCCACTTTGACCTGAACAGGGTTGCATGGCACCATTACTTGCTCATTAAAAGGAAATAAAGGAACAAGTTTTAAATGAGGGTCCTGGAAAATAAAGACTTGGGAGAAAAAAGAAGAAACAAATGAAAACCTAGTTAACAACAAACTCTCCGAGGATGGTTCCTATATTTATACTCTTCCTGGGTTCTACTACTTTTGATCTCACTTTTATTGAGTTTCCTAGCATCATACATTTCATAAAGAATTTTTTTCTTTGAGAAGATTTTTTTTTCTCTCTTTACACTATCTAGCATAATGAACCCTGCCACCATGCTAACTATGGAATAGAATAGATATTTCTGAGATGAGGAAATTCAGGTGGATATGGAGGGGTGATCTTTCTGATGCCCCAAGGGTTTCTTCCCCAATTCTGATAGTGTTGAATTTCTCAGAAAACTTGAACAGTCCTTTGTTGGGTCATATTCCCAATGTTCACATGCCTTCCTAGCCCTGTTCAGCCTATGACTCTTCCATTCTTTTTAAGAGGAAGAAAACCTATATCTTTGTCTTCCTCTCACTGTAAGGAAACCTGACTGGGTCACACAGGCAGCACTTGAGTATGGGAAAGACTTCCTATTTGAGGTTGTGATAGGAGGGATAGAGGGTCAAGTATGAGCTAGGATCTGGGGGGGGGGAGGTGGTAGGGTGAGGACTGGTATAGATTAAGATGACAAACATCAGAAACTAGTAGCAATGGTCTGAATATTCTCTACTGGAGTAGAGGAAAGGAGGGAGCCCAGCAAGGACAGAAAGTCATCTTGGCACCTTAGTCTCATGAGAAATGGGAGAATATAGAGAAAATATGGACTAGGGTAGATGAGCCGTCTTTATAAGTACAGCCACAATTGGCACCATGCAGTATTGGCTCACATAGCTTTGGGACTGGTAGTTGGAAATTCTGAATGGGAGATTGGGAAGGAACTGTCTTCCCCAATGGAGTCTAATGGGGAGGGAAAGCCCATCCAGGAAGAAGCAGAAAGCCATAAGCTGGACTCTATAACCTCCACCTTATTCACAGTGCCTGGTGGATATCTTCTGACTGTAGCACTTTATAGACAACCCAGTAGAAAATATTGAAAATGAGGAAAGTAAAAGGGAAGACAGCCCGGGAGATGGTGTCAATTCTCTTGGCCCGGTCCACATAGAGTTTCCGCATGGTTTCTCCTTCTTTTAGAAGAGAGGCTAGAGTTTGGGGGCTATAAATACTAGAACCTTCCATTGGGCCTCCATCCCTTCCCTGCAGGCAGTGGCCCAGGCCATAGCCACGGAAATAGAAGCGGCTTTCTCTTATGATGTCTTCCTCCTGGATTACAAGGAAGAAAAGGCAAAAGTTGAGGTCAAACCTGTAAAGTAGAGGGATAAAGACCAGGCCTCACATAACTATCTCACATATAGCTTAATGCAGAGAAGGTGGCTGTATACACAAGCCAAGCTTTTTTTTAATTGATTCTTTTTAATCATGCAGATGGTAGAATCCATTTTGATAAAAATTATACAAGCATAGGTTATATCTTATTCTAATTAGGACCCCATTCTTGTGGATCCACATGATGTTGGGATTTACTTAGGTATTTTCACATATATATATACATAGGAAAATTATATCAGATTAATTCCACTGTCTTTCCTTTTCCTATCATCCCCCTCTTCTTTTTTTCCCCCTTTGTCTAATCTACTGAATTTCTTTTGTTCCCTATTACCCCTCTTTATTGTGGTTTATCTCCCACAAATCAGTGAAAACATTTGACCTTTTGGTATTTTGGGATTGGCTTATTTCACTTAGCATGATAGTCTCCAGATTCACCAGGCACATGCTTTTTGATTGCCACAAAACTCTTCATGAGGTAGATGAAGGCTAAGCAGCTATATGTGCTACATATGATATAATTTCTGTATTAACAGTTAGGCCCTGAGCTGCCTTTTAAAAATGTATAACATAATTTAAAGTCATTTAAATTCCAGTGAAATGCCAACTGTAAGGGACATCTCAACATTAAGTCATCTTTGGTAGTAAACAAAAGAACAAAACCAGCTGGGCATGGTGGCACATGCCTGTAATCCCAGTGGCTTGGGAGGCTGAGGTAGGACATTTATTACCCAATGCACATTTCCATTCAAAGCCTCCTCAGCAACTTACTGAGGCCCTAAGCAACTTAGTAAGACCCTGTCTTAAAATTTAAAAATTTAAAAAAGCTATATTAAGATGACAAACATCAGAAACTAGTAGCAATGGTCTGAATATTCTCCACTGGAGTAGTGGAAAAGAGGGGGCCCCAGCAAGGGCAGAAAGTCATCCTGGCTCCAGAAACAAGGCCAGACCTCAGTCTCATGAGAAATGGGAGAATATAGAGAAAATATGGCCTAGAGTAGTTGAGCCATCTTTATAAGTACAGCCATGATTAGCACCATAAATTATTGGCTCATATAACCAATATAACTATATATATAACTATATATATAACTATATATATAACTATA